CCCCCCCCCCAACACCTCCCCCCCCCCCCACCCCCCCCCCACCGCCCCCTTTCATTCACCCCGGGGGGGGGGGGAAAGGGGACGGGCGAAACCGGGAAAACCGAGTCGTCAACGGCCCCTCCTGCTCCCTTCTGACTGGGGGGGAGGGGGAGAAGCCCCCTCCATCCTTACTGCGCCTGCGCGGCCATGCTCGCCAGCCAAGAACCGAAGCTGCCGCATTAGCCGGCGCGCGCCAGAAGGCTTCAGTGCGCCTGCGCCTACACCGGACCGAGCGTCCGCTCAGATTTGCCGGAACGCTTCGTTTCCCTCCGGATTTGAGGAGGGAGGAGGCGGGGAGCAGTGGCGCGCATGCGTTAAATGCGCTCCCGGGCAGCCTCGAGAACAGGTTGCAACAGGGGCTCGGAGGGTTACCGTGCGGCAAAGGTTGTGTGACTCTATAGCAGTGTTTTTCAACCTTGGCAACTTAAAGATGTGTGGACTTCAACTCCCAGAGTTCTCCAGCCAGCATGGCTGGTCTGGAAAACTTCTGACGTTCCTTCCAACTCTGCGATTAATCACCGTGTGCAAACTGCGGTGGCTTGATTCATAACATTTTAAGTCAAAAACTAATAACTTACCTTATTTGACTGAGATTTCACCTTTCATATGGGAACTTAAGGTGGCATACATACTGTGTTTTAACAGTGTTTCTCAACCTGGGCAACTTTAAGATAGGTGGACTTCAACTCCCAGAATTCCCCAGCCAGTATTCTGGGAGTTGAAGTCCACATATTTTAAAGTTGCCAAGTTTGAAAAGCATGGGAGGCGGCTAATCCCAGGTTTAAATCCTCACTCTGGTATGAAGTTGGCTGGATTGGGTATGCCTTCTGCCCTGAGGAAGTACCTGTTTTGATTGTGGTTTGTTGAATAAACCATCAGGGTGGTTCTTTTCAGAAGCACTCTTAAGCTGGAGCCAAACCAACTACATCATGGCTTGTGTTTTTGCAGCATGCTTCCCACAGGTGGCAATTCAAATGTTCTAGGGTCTGATGACATGGTTGAATAAACCATGATTCAGCTTGGCACACCACATGGAAACATAGTTTCCCTGAGCTGAATCTGCCCAATGGACCAGAGAAAAATATGGTGGGCTAGTTGGCACCCAGCAGCAAACACAGGCAATGAATGAATGCTTGCATTAGCTACTGTACTGAATTAGGAAGACTGAAGTCCACGCATCTTAAATTGGCCAAGGTTGAGAAACGCTGCTTTAGAAACAAAACTAGAAACTTTAGCACCTTGACCCTGCTTTCCTGCCCCTATCAGCTTCATTCTGGCCTGGGCTCAGAAGCTAAGCATAGTTGGACCTATTTCTGCCAGCCCTTCCACAGCCCCTGCCAACCCACCCATGCTCTGCAGTGCCTGCCTGCAGCCCCCCCCCCACTCCTTGCCTGGGACTCCCGCCTCTTCCCACTTAGCAACCCATGCAGTCCTGGGGTTACGATGGCAACCGGGATTGCCATCGCTGAGCAATGCAGTCACATGACATCACATTTTACAACCGCATTGCTCAGCAATGGCAATCCTGGTCCCAATTGCCGTTGTAACTCGAGGACTACCTGTAAATAATAATTCTGAAAACAGATTTTTGTATGTGTGTGATGTACAATATAAAGTGATTTACAATTTGGACACATGCTATGAAGACCTATCTCTTTGGAGAAGTCTTTAATGCTGGGAAAGGTGAAAGGAAAGAGAAGAGGATGAACATCAGCAAGGTGGAGGGACTCAGTTACGACAATGAGTTCACCATAGGAAGATGTGAAGGACCAGGTTGGGGACAGATTGTCCTGGAGAAAATCTATTTATGTACCAACTTGATGGCACATAATCAGTCAATCAATCAGTCAATCACATATGCATATCAATCATTTCAGAAAACCCATTGCTCCAATGCACAAAGGGAAATCTTTTTTATCTTAAGATACCCCATCTATTACTGTAGTACTATTTACTTACCCAGTTTAAGAAACATTTTAAATAGCTCTGTTTCTCTATGTATTTTAAAAAAGGAGCCTCCCCAATAATTATTCAATTAAGACTTCATATCTTAAACTCTCAACAATAAGTAAATCTTACTGGGCAATGGAATCTTTTCAGAGTAAGCATATATAGAATTAGGCTATGTTCATTTTTGCTTTGGTTAAAGATTTAGACTTCAACATTTAGAATGTATATATTTTTGTTTTAGCTAAATGTTCAGATTTTAATATACCACTAACACAAATGAGCCCCAGAATTGAAATTTGTAACCTGGCAATGCCCATTAATCAAACACCAGTTTCTACTTAAATGCCTCATTTCCTCCATGAATACAAGGAACTTTTTAACATGTTAGAGTGATACCTCCCAAGATGCTTAGATCCAATTGTAAATTTGATTCAAAGGCCCCAAGGTGACTTTAGCTTGATACTTCCTTGAGTAGCCAGATAGGATGAGCAATGCTTTTCCTTCCGTGTGTTTGCAGCTTGGTTGTTCAGAGTTACAAGAAGCTCCCAGCAACAAAACTTTCGGCAGGTGTCTACAGCAAGTGAACATTCTTCCATCTCTTTAAAGTGAAAGGATTTTGCAAAAGCTCACTCACCTTTCTGGTTTGGACTCAAGTGGGATTATCTGTGAGTGATCTGAACTTACATTTATATCTGTTATTCCATTTTAGCCTATCCCAGTGTTTTTCCAACTTGGCAACTTTAAGATGTGTTACCAATAGAAGAGTGTATCTAGATGTATGTTTCCTGAAGCATAACTACATGTGACTTGAATGATTAAACACAGTGAATAATTCTTGTTCTCTTAATAGGATCTCCCAGACCTCTAACCTTTAGAGAACTAATTCTACATTGCTCTCCCTTTGACTGCATTATTTTGAGAATCTAATTTCTCAGCACAAACAATATTTTCTAATCCAGGACATTTTTGAGAGCTTGTTTGTTTATTAATTAAATTTCTCACCCGCCCATCTCTCCCGATGGGGGAACTCTGGGCGACTCACAACAAACATTAAAAACAAAAATATATATAAATACATAAAACATCAGTTAAAGGCATTACTAAAAAAGGGGAAGGAGAGTTCCCCTTGTTGCTTACATTTTTTTCATTACATTCCTCATACTTTAAACAACCTATTTAAAATTGCTGTTCTTTTTTCTGCCTTATTTTCCTGCTCCCTTCCTCCCTCCCCCATTTGAAGATCACCCACCTCCCTTGGAGGTGACCTACTAAGATTCCTTCCCCCCTCCCCAGCCAATAAGCTCCCAAAATTATTTTCCTTAGATTTGCATAAATCAGGGAAAAAGAAAAGTGGTTTTTGCTGTTCCAATTATAAGAAAAATACATGGAGGTTCTCGTTGTGATATCATACATTTATCTTTTTTCTCATTACATTTAATATGACGGAAGTTTGTTTTCAAAGTAAACGATGCCATTGAATACTGTACACCCAAACAGCACCTCATATTTATATATTAACCTCTCTGGAGTCCGGGGGCTCTCTGAGCTTGGTTGTTTGCTTGCAGACATTTCATTACCTGATTAGGTAACATCATCAGTGCTGCTAAGTGTCGGGTGTGCTCCCTGTTTATATACAGTGGCTTGCCCTGCCAATGTTTGTTTGTTTGTTTGTTTGTTTTTATTAAATTTTTCAACTGCCCATCTCCCCCCAATGGCGATTCACAACAAACATTAAAACATAAAATATATAAATACATAAAACCTTAATTAAAAACATTA